CCCCGCCCATTGATCAGCTGACTGATGAACACATTCTAGAGAGAAAGTTACTGCAGAGCCTTCTGATGCCGCCATGACTGCGTCGAAGACCAACCCCCCCTCTCAAAACAAAACAACAACGCAGTGTTGAATCTATGACTATATTAAGAAATAAGATCCATATTTAAGAGCTGTCTTGCTGCTCGGAATGCGCATTTTCCCTTGTTTGGTTGCGGAATAGTCCGGTCCGCTCGTAACTTTTCACTACGCAGGAAAATCAATGAGAAGAACGTCGAGCACACGACCGTTTCTTTCTCTGTGTCGAGTCACCGCAGCGTGCTCGGTCAATAGCGCGCTTTCCATCGAGCCCTTCCTTTGCCACATTTTCACAGAATGAAAGAATCAATATCAGGGTTTGACACATGCTCGGGAACTGTACAATACACACGTCCGCACAGCGCGATGCAATATAGGTAATCAATGGCAGCGTTGAGTGGCTGGTTACGTGTAAACTGACACTAATCCTGGAGGGCGCTTTTTTCCCCCCCAACCTTTACTGAGCCAGGGCACCCACGACAAAAAAAATGAATAAATACCACCCCCAAATTAATTAATTAAATAAATAGCTAGCTAGCTATATAGATAAATAATAATGACCTTGTCTCAAATCTCTCACAACGGGACTTCATTCAGTGTGACGTCTGGCTTTGTTTAGATGAGCCGAAACGCTATTCTTCGATTGTTTTCGGCAGCAGGTGGGGAGTCAAGTTCATTGTTCTGCTGGTCCCAATGTCGCTCGAGTCGATGGATAAACAAAGGTTAGGCTGCGGTATATGTATTGTCTATGAATCATATTTTAGGCGCTAATGAAGTCGTCTGTTAGTTTCCTAAAAAAAATAGAGAAACTAACAGTAAATTAACCACGTCACGTTCAAACTCACGTTAAAAAGGGAATCGGCACAAAACCGCCACCTGTTAAAGTACCTCTGATTAGCCCTGAATAAAGTTCAGCTGTTCTAGTAGGCTTTCCCTGAGTTTTTTTTGGATAACACATTTCCCACACAGCCATGGGGTGGGTGAGACTTTGTTTTGGTATTTTCGCATGAATATAAGGAGAAAAAAAAATCGACATGTTGAACAGAACAAAGCTGCAATGATTATTGCATCATGAGACATGGGCACAAATGCCAAAGTCACAAACGCGGAACAGAAGTTGATGTCCGTGGAGGACATATTTCGAAAACCAATCGGAATGGTCGCGATGTCTCTTTTGACCCGAAAGAAATTCCTCATCGGGGCTTGAAAAGATGCTGGCTTACCTGCACTGATGCTGGAGTTATCGAACGCTTCGCTTCCAGCCGATGAGGCCTCATGGAGGGGTTGCATTTCAGATGAGGGGGAGATCTCCAATTGACTGGAGTTGACAGCTTGGTAAGCGTGCACCTGCACACCGTCGGAGCCCATCAGCGGCTCATCTTCATCCTCTTCGTCTTCCTCCCGTTTCAGGTCCATCATCAGTACGGCCCCCTGTGTGGCGTCCGTAGCCGGTAAGTCCCAGTACATTGCCAGCACCACAAACTGGAGCAGCAACCACAACAAGCACATGAAGATCTGGGAGGACGAAGAGGGGGAAAAAAAAAATTCTGTAAATATTTACATGGGTGGCTGTCAAGTTTTTTTTTCTCCACAGCTGACCAGATATGAAAAAAATCCACTGATTAGCTTTTGTAAAATTGGCCATCTTATTATGATTGGACTCATCGACAGCTACATGGCAACTTGTTTGTGCAGTTACAACTGAGACAGTGCGGCGAGAGCTGTGTGCAGCTCCCAACAGCTTTTCAAAAGATTAGATTTCAAAGCGGGGGGGCACGGTGGAAAAATGTTAGCACGTTTGCCTCACAGTGCAGAGGTGCAGGGTTCGATTCCGGCTCTGGCTTTCCTGTGTGGAGTTTGCATTATCCCCCCGTGCCGGCTTGGCTTTTCTCCGGGTACTCCGGCTTCTTCCCACATTCCAAAAACATGCGTGGCAGGTTAATGGAACAATTTAAATTGTCCCCAAGTGTGATGGTGAATGCGAATAGTTGTTTGTCTGTGTGTGCCCTGCGATTGGCTGGCGACCGGTTCAGGGTGTACAGTCCCCCGCCGACTGCCTGAAGACAACTGGGATGCGCCCGCGACCCTCGTGAGGATGAGCGGATTAGAAAATGGATGGAGATTTCAAAGCTTGTCACTATTCTTAGTGTTTTATTTTCCTCCATACACATTTATTTCATTTTTTTTTTCAGAAAACGGGGATCTTATAGCTCAGCGATTGAGGAAAAACGAAGATAAATTTTTGATTCCGCACCCAAAAATTAATTTAAAAAACAGCCGTCAGGCCTAAAACTCTGTTCCCCAGTGTAACAAGTGCCATTCTTCATGTTTTTATAGCATAATCGTTCACACAGTTGAGTTACTGGTGCTCTTGCATGCATCTTACATTTTCGAAAAAGAAGACGAGCAACTAACCCACGGGGATGAAGAAAGTTATCAGAATCAAAATTTCACCATCGGGCAAACAAGTTTGACACCCCTGCAATGCAAGACTGGTATCAACTATTGTGTTTTTAACACGTTCATGCTCAACTTTGGTTTCGTTTAAGACTATTTTTATGACTTTGGTTTTCAAACTGTATTGTCTCACAAGAATTCAAAATATCAGTTGAGAAAATAAAGAAAACATGATTTGGGCCAGACTTGGGGGTCCTCGGAAGAAAATGTCAGCTCGAGAGTGAATTATGGAAATCTGAACCGCTTTTGGGGAGCTCTGCTGAAGTGCCCTTGAGCAATGCACCAAACACCCAATTACTTGAGCATCATACTCATGTATATGCAAAACGGGGGGAAAAAAATGAAAAGAGTGTAAAACTGTAGGGAATAAAATGATTGTTTTTCCTCTTCTAAATTATGCAGGAGTACCAAATGTGTCGATCGATGCGGGCTGTTGAAAGTCTGAGCAGCAAGTTAGATTCTTACTCCAAGGGAGTAAAAAAAAAAAAAAAAAAAAAGCACTCGACTAAGAAGAAGCGCTCAATTTCTGCACATTGCCGCTGTGTTGAT